ACTGTCACCCTGAGGTTGTTCAGGACTCAGTGGGGAAGGCCTGGCCCTGCCCTGCGTGAGGGTGGGAGGTTATTGGGGATCTGGCTGCTCACAGAGTGAGATGCAGGCAGAGGGAACACAGGTAGAGCCTCAGCTGGACAGGGCTTGCCTCGAGGGCAACCCAGCCATGGGGCTATGCCTTGTAGCATTCCCTCCAGGTCATCAGGGGCCTACTATCCAGTCACTGTTCTGAGAGCCTCATATTGTCTTGTCTAATCCTTAGAACAACCCCCTTGGATTGGTGCTGCAACAACCCCATTTCACAGACATGGAAACTGAGTCACGGAAAGTTTGATTACTGGTAACTTGCACAAAGATGCACAAAAGCAGTTATCCCTCAGGGTTCCCTGAGAACCGATGGGAGTGCCTGGCTCCTCCTGGGCTGGGAGGTCCCACAGTCCATGTAGTTTCAAGCTACCTGCAGGTCTGGGCCCTGAGATCTGGACCTGGAAGCCTCAAAATGCCACTAAGCCTCGAGATCCCCCAGTCTTCCATCCTCCTACCCCCCAACCCCACCACACTTAGGCCCCTACTCTTTGGCTCTGTCTCTCTCCAACCACAAGCTCCCTGGCATTCCAATCCTGTCTGTCCTTCAAGGCCTAACTCACCTGCCACCTCTGAGCCCAGCCTGGCTACTCCCTCCCTGAACTCCTGCAACCTTTTTGAGAATTGGATTCAAGCCTAGAGTCAGCTTACATGAGCTTGTCACCTTAGGCAAGTTATTTGACTTGTCTGGGCCTTGCTTTCCTTTGATGATAGTACTGACATTCACTGAATATTGTGTGGAGTACTTAGTTTGTCTTATTTGTCTTGAAAAAATCCTGCGAGGTATACACTGTAGTATTATTATTACCCTGAGATGAATTTAGTAATTTGCTTTTGGCCACACAACTGTCACATGGCAGAGCTGGGAACTGAACTGAAGCCTGAGTAATCCTAAAGGTGAGGTGGGGGGAACTAAAGTGTCAGCAAGTGTTAATACAGCGAGCTGCTGCCTTGTTCTGGTCTTTTTATTTAAAAAAATTGAGGTGAAATTCACATAACATGAAATGAACCACTTAAACACTTAAAATACACAATTGAGTGGCATTTCATGCATTCATAACATTGTACAACCATCACCTCTATCTAGTTCCAAAATACTTTTCGCTACCCAAAAAGAGAACCCATACCCATTAAGCCAGCCGTTCTCAACCTGTCGACTGTGACCCATTTGAGGGTCTCCAGCATATCAGATATTTACATTTCGATTCGTAACAGTAGCAAAATTATAGTTATGAAGTAACAATGAAAATAATTTTATGGTTGGGAGTCACCACAACATGAGGAACTATATTAAAGGGTCACTGCATTAAGCAGTCACTCCCCAATTTCGTTCTCACACTACCTGTTTGAGGAAGGATTCATTATTCCCATTTTTAAAATTAGGAAACTAAAGTACAGGGAAGCAATAAAAGTTAGTAGGTGGTAAAGCTGGGCCTTCAGTATAGGTGTCTATTAAGTTCCGTGTCTATGATGCGAGGCTACGCTGCCTCTTCATTCAGAGCTCAGAATACTGGACCTTGAATTAATTAGTAGATCATTATCTTGTATATGTTACAAAGTGAGATTTTTGCCAAGTTTTGGGAAATGCCAAAACTAGGATCATTATATAAGGGAAGTAGATGACAATTTGAACTTGATTTGCAAAATTTATACATTAAATTTTAGAAACTAGAGCCCTGACAAGGGAAAAGCTTGTTTTGACTCTAGGAAACATTTCAGTCTCTGGTTGGTGATCCAAATTAATATATTCTGGAACTTCCCCCCAGATAGCTCTTAGGAAGGACACATTGTTAGAGTCCTGATAAATTCAAATTTTAAGTAACCCCCCTTAGCTAGACCCAGGATGGTCACTCCTCCTTCTTAAGGACTCTCCTGGGCCATAATGGATCAGATGATGTGATAAAGGGTGGCGTTCCCACAGTTAAGAAGAACCTCCGTATCAAGCAGAGTCCTATGGATGAAAAAAATTCAAAAGAAAAAAAAATAGAAAAAGCAAAAGAAGCATTTTTATAGGTTACTATACGTAGCCTTATCTCTCTTAGCGAAAATAGTCTTTTTGTGTTGTTCAGTAAAGTTTTATTTCTCCAAATATATGGTTGATGGGACCCTGTTCATGCATCTTCACCAGCAGCTGGGGCATCTCCACCCTTGGCGTATCTGGTGTAAATTACTTGAGCTCTGTGCTTTGAAACCAGTTTGATCACTCCTTTACTAAGGAGCTCCTGCAGGGCCGGCCTGGCCAGGGAACCTCGAATCTTCAGTCTCTCAGAGACCACAACTGGGATGATTGGGATGATAAGCTTATAGTTGGGAACTTCCTTACAGAGTTTGTCATACGTAACTTTCTCAAACCAGACTAGGTTGTTGAGCTTGTCCCGAACTTTGCCTTTGGACCACTTCTTTTTGACTTTGTCCCCAGATTTGTCCACTGGGTCTTTGTCTTTCTTGGCTGACTTTCTGGCATCTTTCTTCTTCTTCTTGTCCTTGGGTGGCATTGTGAAGCTTGGAGAGGAACTGCCACTACCGCAGCCTAGCTAAGATGTTGGACAAAAAAAAAAAAGCAGCAAAAATATTCTTAAATTCATGCATGTAATATTCTTTGGGGTTTAGTAAGCTTTATTGAGATGTAATTCACATACTATATAATTCACTCATTTAAAATATACAATTCAGTGAGTTTTGGCATATCACATTATTAAAATGTTAAGTTGTGATAAAATATACATAACATAAAATTTGCCATTTTGAACTTTTTTTTTTTACTTTCTACTTGTGATTTCATTTATTTCTTACGATAGTCCTGCCAGGCAGGTAGCGTTTTCCCATTTAACAGATGAGGAAGGTCAAAGAACTTTTGCAAAGTGATGGGGCTGGCATGAGGAAGAGTCTGCATCTTAACCTGGTTCTGCAAATTTCATGATCTTCATCCCTTTGGAGGTCTTCCAATTCCCAACTCCTCCCATCACTTCCCCTACTTAAGTTCTCCTGCTACTAACTGGCTTCTGTGCATTTTTTAATTTATCCCTGAAGGCAAGAAATTCTCACGAAACTGTTCAGTTATCAAGAACTGGGTTGATAGGGTTTGGATGTTGGGCTCCTCCAGACCTCATGTTGAAATTTGATCTCCAGTGTTGGAGGAGGGGTGTGGTGGGAGGTGTTCAAGTTCCTGCTTTATTGGTATTGGTTGTTTAAAGGGCCCCAACACCCCCTCCTCCTTCTCTTGCTCCCACATTTGCCATGTGAAACACCTGCTCCTGGTTTTCCTGCCGGCTTGATTGGAAACTCCTTGAAGTCCTTACCAGAGGCAGATGCTGGCACCATGAGTCTTGTATAGTCTACAGAACTGTGAGCCACTTAGACCTCTTTTCTTCATGAATTACTCAGCCTTGAGTATTCAAGGTGTCCATTCGCATTCCTGGGTCCTATGCGCACTCCTGAGGTGAGAATGGCAGGGTCCCCTGATGGGCAGCGTCTGGACTCCTTGCACAGGAGCAAGGAAGGAATGGCTTTTCTCTGCACTCTGGCAGTGTTCATAGGCAGACACAGGATCCTAATGTCTCTATTGATGCAGAATTGTCAAAGGGACTTCAGATGCCTACTAATCCCTGATTCTCACAGTGTGCCCCGAACAGTCCTGGGAATTCATGTCTTAGGCTGCATGCGGTTTTCTGAAGATTAATTTGTTGTCTTGTGCCATGCCTGTTGAAAGAGCTGTGCTCCATTTTGAACTTTTTAAAAAAATTTTTTTAAATTTAATATGAGGCTACAATTGATTAGGTGACAATGTTTGTATTTGTTAGGTAAGGTCCCTGTTGTGGTTGTGTCCTGCACCCGAGAGATGTGCCTTATACCCTTATGTTGTGCCCGTTAGGTGGGAGCACACCATTTTAAACATTTTTAAACATATCCCCAAATGTCGTTGGCGTTAATTACATTCAGCAATGTTTGTTTGTTTGTTTGTTTTTTGAGACAGGAGCCTCAAGCTGTCCCCCTGGGTAGAATGCCGTGGCATCTCAGGTCACAGCAACCTCCAACTCCTGGGCTCAAGCAAGTCTCCTGCCTCAGCCTCCCAAGTAGCTGGGACCACAGGCGCCCGCCACAACGCCCGGCTATTTTTTGGTTGCAGCCATCATTGTTGTTTGGCGGGCCTGGGCTGGATTCAAACCCGCCACCTTGGGTGTACATGGCTGGCGCCTTAGCCACTTGAGCCACAGGCACCGAGCCTCATTCAGCAATGTTTTGCAACCATCACCACTATCTATTTTCACAATTTTCATCACCCCAACAGAAACTGTAACTATTAAGCACCAACTCCCGCTCCTCCTCCTCCACCCACTCGTAGCAGCTGTTCTACTTTCTGTTTCCATGAATTTGGCCACTCCAGATACCTCACATGAGTGAAATCATATTTGTCATTTTGTGCCTGCCTTTTATTAGCACACTGTTTTCAAAGTTCATCCATGATGTAGCATGTATCAGGAGTTCATTTCTTTTTAAGGCTGCATATATGTTCCCTGGGGTGTTCAGGCCACATTTTGTTTATGCAGTAATCCGCTGTTGTGAACAGTGCTGCTGTGAAAGTTCTCATGAAACTATTTGTTGGGATCCTGTTTTTAATCCTTTCAGTTCTGCCTCTCAGTAAAATTACTGGGTTAGGTAGCAATCTTATGTTTAACTTTTTGAGAAGCCTGGTCCTTATTTTTTAGATGTTTTCCTCTATGTCATGGTAATATCCTGGTGGCCATGGTTGCCCCTGGTGTAGGGCTGAGCACCAGGAGGAGCTGAGCCCCCCTGCAGTGGGTATGGGAGAGCTGCTACTCACCACCATGTGCTCAAAGGCTTCCTGGCCCACCATCCTTCTTCTTTGCCTGCTCAGAATGCTAGCCCCTCTAACCTGTCCCCTCTGTCCCCAACAGATGTGCCTGTGGAGAAGCTGGCCGCCATGCCGGCCTTGCGCAGCATCAATCTCCGCTTCAACCCACTCAATGCCGAGGTGCGCGTCATCGCCCCACCGCTCATCAAGTTTGACATGCTCATGTCTCCAGAGGGCGCACGGGCCTCCCCACCGTAGGCCACCTTCCTCACGCCCGCCCAGCAAGGGACAGAGGCCACTGGCCTGGCACCCTGAGGGGAGGGAGGCCCATGGGCCCATGGGAGGCCAAGCTTGGGGGGTAGGGGGCGGGTGGGCTGTACAGCGTGTGGTGGGCAGGGGTGCAGCCAGTCCAGGATAGACAGCTTACAGCGGTAGTGGACTTGGAACGCCCAAGGGAGGAGGCAAGATGGGGGCTACAGCCTGGACTTGGGCACTCACAGCTGCTGTGCAGACGTGGGCAGATCCCCTGCCCTCTCTGAGCCTTGTTACTTGGAGAAAGGGCTCCTTGGAGGTTGTTTAGGCAGTACGTGCCTCCAAGTTACCTCCAAATCACTGGGTACCTCTGAGCCCTCAGAGGAGCATTGCTGAGCATTTTCTGGGCCCCTGTGGGTTTGGGGCCTTATTTCTAGTCCCGAGAACCAGTCGCTGCTCTGAGAAGAGTAGAAGACAGCTTCCATCTATTTATTGCTTCCTGAGACCCGACCCAGATGAGACCCTTCACAGGGCCCCATCCTCAGCCCTGGGGTCCCTGGCCTGGCAGGCTGGTCGGTCCCCTGCTAGGAGAGGGCTGGGGCTCTTGCTTCCTGGTAACACCTGTGGTTTGGAGAACCCTGACCTCTCACCCCCCAGGTGTCCTCCTCTGTGGAGCAAACACACTCAGAGTGCCCCAGACCCCACCTGGTCTGAACCTTTGTTTGGGTCTGTAGAGTTACCTGGGGCAAAGTCAGGCCAACCAAATCCTATGTCTTGTGGACCAGTGGCCACTTTACCACTCTTAGAGTTAGGCTATTCAGAGCTGAGACCACCACTCAGCACAGTAATCCCTTACCCTTGCCTGGGTGTCCTGTCTCTTGGTGAGGAGCTGACAGGTTGGGCCATTGTTAGCCTGCCACTGAGTGCTCTGTCCCCCAGGGAGACATTGGTGACTATGTTCATTTCCCCAGGCCTGGTTGGTCAAACTCTGGGAAAAGAGTGTTCAGGATCAGGAGGTCAAGACTCCTGACAGGATCTCTACGGATACCGAGTCTAGCTGTGGACACTGGGGGCAAGTAGGGGCTGATGTGCAGGCTGGGCTGGCCCACCCACCCTATGTCCTGGTGTGGAGTTTCTCCTTGTTGAGAAAGACGCATCCTTTTCTGACGTGCACAAAGGCAAAGTATGGCCAGCGCCTCACAGCCCCAGGTGTGGTCTGAGGAGCAGCAGCAGTGTTACCTGGGAGTATGTTAGAAATGGAGAGTCTCAGGCACCACACAGACCTGCCAACTCAGACCCTGCATTTTACCAAGACCCCCAGATGACTCCCGCAAGCACTTTATAGTTGGGGAAGCAAAAGTGTAGAGGTGACCCTGGGCATGTCCTTGGAGTAGAGGTGAAAGTTCTATCAGTTCTTCCCTGCCACCTCCAGGGAGTTGTGCTCAGCCTTCTCCTAACCCAGCTGTGGGGGACCATTGGCTTCTTAGATCTTTCCAGAGTCTGTGTGACACTCCCAAGGAAGGGAGTAAATTGAAGTCACAAGGAGATGAGGGTTGGGGGTGCCTGACCCTCTGGACTCTGCCTTTCTGGTTAACCCCTGCATGCCAAGTTAACTGCCTGCTGACCCAGGTACCTCTCCTCAGGCCCTGTGAAGGGGGTGCTTCCGGAAGTGTTCTACTCTGCTTGGAGAGTTTCCCCTTGCCTCCCTGGGAAAGCTTGGGCAGTCAGAAAAGCTCCCGAATCAGAGCTCACTGTGTGAGTGAGCCTTTTAGCTTCAGTCTGCAATAAAGAATGTGTTGGTTTCATCTGCCTGCTTGGTATTTGATTCATTTTCACTGTTCAGACCTCCTGTAACCTGGATGTCAAACCGACCTACATGCAGGAAGGACTGACCTCATGTTAAAAGCACAAAGTAAAGAAAGCTAGACTGGGGTGATACTTGGGTTAGCCACAGGTGGGCACAGAATCAGGGCAACCTTACTGGTCCATGCCGCAGGGCAGGGGGAGAGTGTGTACCTGAGGAAGGGTGAGGAGGCCCACTGTCTCTGAAGTTCCCCTTCCTGGTGCCAGAAGTTACACCCTTAGTAATTTGTTCCTCTGAGTCCACGCAACATCAGCACCAGGTAGCTGGCTAGAAATGCCAGTTCTTGGCTCCATCCCAGATATGCAGTATCAGAAACTGGAGTGGGGCCCAGCCCTCTGTTTTATCAAGCCCTGGGGTGGTTCTGGTGCATGCTGAAATCAGAGAACCACTGGGGGTTTAAGGTTAAAGTTGAGTTTTATTTTTTAAATGAGAGATCAGGTTAAGTTTGCCTTGAGTCTTAGGCCAGATGCTCCATTTTTTATTTAACAAACACATACAGAGCTTAGTGGATAATGTGCTTAGACAGGAAATGTCTAAGCCCATTACAGATATTAATTCATTTAATCCCTGTAACAATCCTAGCTAGCTTTGTGATTTGGACAAATCTCTTTCCCTCTGCAGGCCTTGTTTCCCATCCGTAAAATGAAGAGGCTGCACCGGGAGCTCCCCAAGGGCTTTCCAGAACTCATTTGTTTGGTCACTATTTTTCAGCTTCTGAGGGCTCTGCTGTTGTCTCTAACTTTCCCTATGGATCAGCATAGACTTGGGGTGCTGCTCTCCTCCAGCCCAAAGGGCAGAGAGCGGACTACCCCCAGCCCCCGCCGTGCAAGTAAAAGTTGTAAATAACTTTATAGTTCATTCTAGAAGCTTTCTGAAAGAATCTACTGCCTGCGGTTTCCTGTTGGATGCTGGCTCACCACAGTCCCCCAGATCAACCTGCTGCTCAGACCAGCCGATCTGCTCTTCCCGCCGGGAGGGAGAGCTCTACCTCAACAGTTCCTCTGGTGTGTTCGACTGGGCAGGCAGTCAGAAAATGAGGAAAGTTCAGAGTCTGGTTTTAGGTGGGGCTTGCAAGGCAGGGGAAGAAGCCAAATGATTAGGACTGGGTAAAGATCGTGACATGATTTAGGATCAGGGGACACAACAAAGGAGAAGTGAGACAAAGGGTTTAAGAGTCTTGGGTGGAAACTTTCTTTTGATGCAATTAAGAGTTGAGTGGTTTGATGTTACTTTAAATGATTCTTTCAGAAAGCTCCTAGAATGAACTATAAAGTTATTTACAACTTTTACTTCCTGGGCAAACTTTCCTGGATAGTACAGTTATGTTGGAGAAGACGGTGGAGTAATAAAGTTAATGTAGTGAGGTGTGTGAGGCTAGAGAGCTTTGGGATTCTCCCCCAAAATACCATGTTGGACTCCACGGCCCTGTCTTGGAGCTGCCCTTTACAAGAAACATGCCTGTCCCTTCTCAGATAGCCAGCCGTGGGGAACAGGGAGCAGTTCTTGGCAGGGCAAGAGTTGGCAGCTGCACTAGAAGGTGAGAAGCCCTGGGTGAGAAGCCATGGCCAGGAAGGGTGGGTCTGGGAAAAGGGCATAACTCGGGGCTTCTGGGCAGGAAAAACCCCTGGGCTTGTGAGCAGTCAGGCCATGCCCTATGTGTCTCGGGGCCAAGAAGGCCAGGTCCATGCCTGAGAAAAGAGACCAGCTGCGTTAGATCCAAGCAAGAGTGCTCAGGGACCTCTTGGTGTTCATTGGCACCGGGCAGGCACTGGTCTGTTTTCTCATTTATTATTAGCAACAGACCTCTTGGTGCTCACTCTATGGATGAGGAAAGAGGGTTAAAAGGTTAGCACATGACTCAAAAGGAGCATGGATGGGCTTTGTTTCTACTGGGCTGCTTTGGTGCTACAAGCCTGGGGTCTTTGCCATGAGCCCCAGACCTGGAGGAGTCTGGCTTAGACAGAAGTAGTCGATGTCCTTTCTATCCTATTCCTGTGAAAAGGCCTCTCTGAGCCTTTACTTTCCTCATCTATAAAATGGGTGCTAACACGGCCTACCCAGACGCCATAGGCTTAACAACAGATGATGTGGGTAAGTACATCAGCATCGTGCCCATTTCACACACCAAGGGCTTCCTCTCACATTTCCTTATGCCCGCCCTATTGGGCACACCCTGTAGTCCCAATAAGAGCCTTGCCTTCTCAGGGCAATGCAGAGCTCATGCCCCATACTTCTGCAGCGTACCTGCACACCAATGGGAATCACAGGGAATAAGAAGACTGACAGCTCCCCAAGCACTCCATCTTCCAAGTTCAGGGGTTTACAAAGCCTCCACTGCAGGCCTTGGAGGACGGCTAATGACGTGGGATGATGAAGAGTTCAAGGCCCTACCCAGGAGCCACCTGGGGCCTGTGCAGCTCTACCTATGTACATTTAAATTCACACCAGCAGAGGCACCTGGCACCCTCCTTCCTGTAGGTGGGAAGCACTGGAAGGTGGACTTTGTAGGGCTGCCTTGGCCATGACTTCAGGGGTGTCATTCACAATGCATCTCAGATAGAAAACAAGAATGGGTCCCCTGGAGTTGTGCAAGAGGGAATGATGTATCTATAGACTGTTTCTAAGAGAATGAATCATAGGGCTTTTAAAGATGCAGATTCCTAGGCCCATTTGAGATCCTAGTAAGCCAGACTCTGGAATTAGGGCCCATACCTCTGCACCTTAAAGAGTCCCTGTTTATCTTGCAACCCGCACCCAGAGGATCTTTTTAAATCCTAAGTCAGTCTTCTGTTCCAAGTCCAGCAGTGGCATTCATTTCCTCTGATGTGGAAGCCAAGGCCTTACAGTGATCTTGAAGGCTGCATGTCATCTGCTATCTATTACTTCTCTGTGTTCTCCAAACATACTGGATACCAGCTGTTCCTCCAGTGGCCCAAGTGTGCTATACCTCAGACCTTTGCATTGGCTGCCCTGACTCAGATACTCCTCTGGCTAACTCCCTTATTTCCTTCAAGTCTTAGCTCAAGTCAACACCTACCCTAACCACCCTATTGCTCCATTCTACCCACCCCGCTTAATCTGCTCAGCCTTTTCTTTCATCCCCAGTGATTTTCATCTAATATATTCTATCAATACTTGTTATCTATTGCTAATTATCTGTCT